TGCCGTTTAAGTGACAATGATTACCTTGCGAGGCACAATGTAGCTGATAGGTACAATAGCATTAGGAGTGAGTTGCAATAATCTCATAACTTCACAGGACATGACATCCATACCACATTTAGGCACTGAAGCTATACCCTTACTTTGAAAATCCACCATCTCACCTGACACTGAGAAAAGATAGTGGTATTAATTTATTATATTCTATCAATTCCTTCTATGAGGGGATGGATGGTTTATTTGATTGACAGTGCCCTCCTTAGTATATGAGCAGTGCCATTTGGTACCTTAAATGGGTCATTGACAAACTTTTCAGAACATTTCAATTTAGGTCACTATTACCTTGGTATAAGTATGGATTTCCACTTTCTTTAACTTCATAGTACCAAATACTAGAGTCTCCCTGATCCAAAATCAAATAYAAATATGTGATAGTCCTATATTTATCTTTCTTGTGTATTTGTATATTATAGTGCATGCACACTTTAAATGATGCAGCAACCACATCAATTATTAAGTGGCAGTATATTAAAAATAAATTGAGCCAGATATAATTTATACATTTTTTATGTTCTTTTAATCAATTTTATCTATAATTTTATTCAGAATACCACTGTACCTTGCCAGCCAGAAGCAGCATATCTGTGTCAGGATCATAAAATGGCATCAAGATACTAATAATGCATACAACTGAAAATTAGGTCTTTCTTACAATTTGTACCTTGTGTTAAATCCCAAATTTGAAGTTGTGATGAGTAAGCTATTTTGTGTTGGCATCTCCTTAGCTGCAGCTACTCTTTTTTTGTTAAAGTAAAGCTTTCATTGCTTAGTATATTTGGCTAATGATCGCTAATGATATATAACTATCACCAACATAATGTTAATAAAAATGGAAAGAACAAATAGAGGTTTTTGTTTTTATGTTTTTGTTTTGAATCAATAATTTAATAAGAACCACTTCGTGAAACATACCTTGTCCTGGTTTAATACGATGTATAGATTTTTTCCGTGAAATTTACCAGCGCCGCGATCGATTTGATAGATTATTGCGTATGATCTTGTCACGTCATTTTTWAAAAAAAWWTTTATCATTGCAGGGAAAATTTAGCACTTCATTTGCATTATCCTCATAGAATTTATAACGAAAGTTTGCTTTGCAAAGATAAAGAAAGTTAAAGAAAGAAAAGAAAGAAAAAAATGTTGAGAAGCTGCTCGAGTGGGGAATTGAACCCGAGATCGTCAGTTTAACCCTGCTATTCAAGTATGTGTAAAATATGTAAAACAAATATTCACAGAAAAAATAAGAATAAGTATATTTCAGCATGACTATAACAACTTCATTTCAGTTAAAAAGAAGAAAGAAAGAAAAAAAAGAGTCGAGAATCAAGGCTGCGATCCTAAGTTCGACCCTAATCGAGTATAATATTCCGTGTAAAATCAGTAATGGCTCAAAAATAATTATTAAACAAAATCTACAGAAATTCAAGATGACTACAACAACTAAGTTATACAAAAAAAGAATGAAAGAAAAGAAAGAAAAAAAAAAGAAAAAAAAAGCGCTCGAGATGAGATTCGAACCCGCGACCCCCGACCCTAGGGGAGTACGCGTTAAAATCCTCGCTCTTTGCCCCGCTTCGAAAACAATTCATCAAAATCCGACCCCCGGGACAATCTTGCTGTTAAAAGCACGTTAAAAACGTGTCACGTCCCCGTTCAGTGCCCCGCTAGCCCCGAGGCGGGGGTTTCAATTGACTAGTGCATAAAATTTAACAAACACAGCTCGTAAATATTAATAAAACAAATTGCTAAGAATACTGTTATTAGACATAAAAGCCCACATAATTTAAAAATTCTTACTTTTCTTCTTGAACAAAAGTTAAGAACCTAATTAAGAACCTAGTTAGCCTCTAATTTTACACTAAATAGCATTTATATAAGAACCTGTTTAGGCTAACTTAGGTTCGAACTTTAGAACCTAGGTTCTTATACGCGAGTTTTTACTGTAAACTGCGACATGAAAAAAATAATTAATAAATAAATAAATAAATAAATAAATAAATAAATAAATAAATAAACAAATAAAGATAGAAAGAAAGAAAGGGAGGGAGAAAGAGAGGGAGGGAGRGAGAAAGAAAGAAAGAAAGAAAGTCACTGCATTTTATGACCGTGCAGCAAGCCTTCGGCCTGAACACGGTAATGATGGGGATAATTGCCACAAATCTTATAATAAACAGTAAAAAAAATTTAGACTGAATTGTAGAAATAATTGTATTTATATATAGATCTAATTATGAGTTGAATGTTTGTCAGGATGTATTGTTATCTCAAACTCCTAATTACTGTCATGTGAATGACAATTCAACAATATGATAAACATAGAATGATTTACAGGTGCTGAAGGATAACACACAACATTTACAATCTATGGACTTACCCTGTATTAGAATCAACATTTAAAGTTTCTAGTGGTAAAGTCAGATTATTAATGTCCCAAACAACTATTTGACGTTGTCTTGCCTGAAGAGAAAAATGTAAAAAGTGCAGAACACAATTGGCCTTCAAATTATTTGTCTCCTTTTTATTTGAAAATGTACCTAGCCCACACATTATTTTTAATTTTTTTCTGGCTAAGCAGGTAATAAATAGCACATACCACAGAAAACCCTGTTCCCAAGATTTGGTTTCTATGTCCAAGCCAAGTAACACGAGAATCCTTGACGCCGCTGAAGCCACTGCCTTCCTAATCAAGGTTATAAGAATAAAGTTGCACTATTAATTATAAGTATTAGCAAATAAAACAATGTACATAGTACGTATTATAGCAACACTTGTCATGATAATTTGAGATGGTAATACAAAATATGAAACCTTATGAAAAACGTGACAGAGGTCTAACATGATCTTTTCTTAAATGTTTTGACTGTACAAGTGTATATTTCCAAACTATAAACATTAGAGAATCAAGACATTTTGATGTAATGTTTGGGTAAAGTAAATGAGGCTGGGGTTTGTGTTTGTACTTGAATAATAAAACATACCCCAGAACAAGTTGAAGCTCTCGGATCAAATATGCGTATCTTTTTGTCCTACAATGAAAAGTACATCCACAATTTATTGTTTCCCACAATGCCCTATCTTTTATGTAGCAACTGCGGTATGGTAATTTTTTATTTGTTTGTATAAAGACCAGCAAATACTTGCTGTGGATTTTTGTCAGTATAAAAACAAACAAATTTTAATTTATCTTGAATAGCCGATTTGCATTATGGTGTCATTTACTACAACTACCAGAATACTTTGTCAACTTTCTTTTGTAATGCAATTAGTGCCAATTGTTTTACTAATCGATAAGGGGATTAAAAATCTGAATAACAATGAAAATGCGCAAGCCTCTCTGGTAGTTGTAGTAAAGTTACGCCATAATGCAAATGGCCTATTAGTCCTAAGATAAATTGAAGGGCCGGATGTGAAAGCGGTGTAAGTGACGATTTATGGTATTTTTGAAACTTTCGCAAAATGGAAAAAAAATTCAATCATTTGTTTCTGGTCTAAATAATCATGTTTGCTAGTTACTTCTCCTGATTTCATTTAAAAAAGCGAAAAAAATCGACATTTAGTTACGTACTGTACTCTCCCCTCCCCCCAAACTTTAGCTTAGGGTTAGTTCCAGCCTTATGCAAGGGTTAGGGTTCCTATAACCTAAGGGTTCCTTGATTCAGGGTTAGGGTTAGAAGGGTTTTGTGTTGGGGATAGTGTAGGGTTAACGTTAGCTAAGGGTTAGGCTCTAAAATCTGAGTTTTTAAAGCAAACAACCCCCCTCCTTCCCCTTTGAACTTTGTATAAAATCACTTCAATAGCCTTCTCGGAATTCTGCCAAAATTTGTTTGTTCCTCAATAGCCAAAACATCCAAAAATTACTGTGGCATCTCCAAGGATTTGCCTTCAGACGGTCTTTTAAGTGAKTCTAAATTTTAGCGAAGGTACAAGTTAATCGAATGAACCCAGGAAACCAAATCGCTTAAAAAGTCACACACCAAGCTGGATTCTTTCAGCAAGTAAGCTCCTTCGCTACCTATAAACTTAATGATGTCCGTAGAGTAGTGACTAAAGGCAAAAGGTTGGGGAAAACGCAAAAAAACGCATTTCTTGACTTCTTGCAGTACGGCTTTGAACCAAAGCAAACCAACTGTCAAAGTCAAGAGTTTAGCTTGAATATGCAAATTTAGGATATTTTACGGTCTAGCGATCAGTTGTCAAGSMAAAGAAGTCCGTAACTATGGGTCTTTTTTTGCTCTTTTTAGAAAGAAATCAGGAGAAATAAGTACTAAATAGGATTATGTAGACTGAAAATAAGCCATTGTAGACTGATTCCACCAGTCTGTCAGGTCCCTCTTTTAGGAGCGAATACTACGACTTGTGGAATCAGTCTAAAGCCATTGAAGTGATTTTTTTAAATTTAACGAAAATTTCAAAAATACTCTAAATTGTCACTTACGCCGCTTTCACATCGGGCCCTTTAATTGTACTGTTCACATAGTACCAAGCTAAGGTGAAAATAAAATCTTATAGTTACCTTGCTGGAAGTRGCCAGCAATGACCCATCTGCTTTCCAACTAAAGCTTTGCACAACATCGGCGTGACCGCTGAGCTCTGAACACACAAATACATATAAGTGATGATTTTCCACTCATAGATTGGAATAAAACCATAAATTATCATATTATGAATAATCATATTTCTAACATGTTGTTACCATATTTTTGTTGACACTTTTCCAAGTCCCATATGGTCACTGTCTTGGAACAAGAACTACCTAAAACCTAAAATGTCAAAAATGTCACTTTTTTCAAACTTATACTTAATTTAATYACACTGTTTTGACAGWCTTCTATGGAGTTATTGAATATGAAAAAAGGAAAATGTCAGAGGTGTAGGTCAGACTGCCTTATGCAGGATCCTTACAAAGCATGTGGTTGTCTTTTTTGTTTGCTAGGTCAAAGTAGATTTTTACATACCTCACTGACTGTTGGATGAAAAATAACATTTTCTACACGATTCTAAAAAAAAACAGAATTATCTAAAGGTTACCATAACGTGATATGATCAGCTATTAATAATATATACTGAGTTCATCCTCAGGGTAGAAATAATCAAATAATTTAACAATAATCAATATGTAAGTGACTCATATTCTATAATAACAAATCATAAGTTCTAACTGGCAATGAATGCAATGCYGTTGAAAGTTACCATAGTTTCATAGTAGCATCAGAGATAATAAAACTTTCAAAAATACAATTAACGTTGCGTTTTGATTCTTAACATGTTTTAGCATTACATTATGCCATCCTCAGAAGAATGAGAATTAAAGAAGTTAATATAAACAATTATTTATATAATATATATACTATAGGTTAGTTACAAATGATTGATATTAATGTGTTGATAAATGTGTTCTTTTAAGACTGTCACCTTTGCACATTTTCATACATTTCACATTGGGGGAATGACTTACAGGCTGAATAGGAAGAACACTGACTGGTGAAGAAGGTACATTTTCAGTACACACATTCTTGGGTAATTTCCATAGTTTAATCTAAAATGAAGACAGGAATGAACTTAAAACCGAATCAATGAATAGATGGATGTATATAATGCACGAGATTGAGAAATTTCAAAAATTGATCCCCACTCCAGATAAACTACAGTGAACATCTTCTTCTTTACTGCCTGGCTGAGCTTAATGATGCAGCCCTATGTGATCTTGTGTCATCAAATGCCTCAAAATAGCAGTGAGGGCATAAAAACGTTTTTTGGTAAATTCACGGTGTGTGTTAGCTAATTTAGCAAAGTGTGTCAATTAGCAAGATGTTAGAGACAAATCTCATGGTAATTTTAGTCTATAATTTTCTGGTTGACAACTCTTTTTATAGAGAGTTCAAATATTGTTTTATTAAAACCCTTGATTGAAAAATTGCCCTAGTAAATAGGTCAATAATAGAGAGTTTTAGCATCACGTTGACAGCAAACGGCTAACGGTAGAGCTGAACCAATGACCTACGAATTTCGTGCCCGACCTTGTGCTTTTGGTAGTCATTTGAAAGAGCGTCTTTTCACGATTATGGCAACCTCAAAATAACCCACTGTCGCATTGAAACTGCAACGTTAACCTCAAAAAAAGCAGGTCACGTGATCTTTTCTGCCGTTTGCCGTTTGCCATGAACGTCATGCTAAATCTCTCTAGTGAAGAAGCAAAATCCTCAAGAAAATGAGTAAGTCATATCACAAACTAACCATGCCCTATTATATTCCATTGTGTAATGCAGGTTTTGACTTTCTAGTGAAGAACTTGTCTTACCTGGCATGGGACAGGTTCTGAATTTTAAATTGAAGACAGTGTTTGAACTGAACTAGCTGAGGTTATTATCTGTATATTGATCTACTTACAAATATCCGACTTTGAAATTTTACAGATGCAAACTTAGTCCAATTTTTAGAAGATGTTTATTCATTTACTTAAATCAGAATATGAAATGTAYTTTCTTGACTGATCAAAGGCCTGCAACAATGACTTACCACTAAGTTAAACAAGAAGAGAGAATATCATCCCTGGTAAGAAATACTTTTTACTTACTGAGCAGTCATATGAACAAGTTGCAAGTAGACTCTCATCAAAAAAGGGAGAAAAATCCATGTCAGAGACAAAGTCTGAAAGTAATCAAGCAATTTTCAAAAATATTTGTTAATTGTAAACAAATGAATTTTGACCCAGAAATGGCATCAGAAATGATCAAAAGTCAAATGGCACCACAAGCATGTTGAGAAGATTCACTTCAAATGGTTGATTTCAAAAGGAAATTTTACAACCATAAGACAATTCATTTTATTCGATTCTTGATTGATTCAACATTATAATTTTATTGAAATCAAATTTAAATTTGATTGGATTTTATTGATTGGATGTTCATAAACGTCATAAATCTTCAGCCAAAAGCTTTCTTTGTATTTCATGGCAAATAAGATGTGCTTTTGTAATTTTCACAACTTGATGCATTGCAATATATTGTCTGTTACTTTGGTTTGGTGAGAAAGGAATGACAGCCCCCAAAAACTGTAAAARCTGTGTTATTTTAATGGAGCTCATTGAAATTTGTAAACCATGTGTTACTTCGTTTTTAGAGTAACCCGCAGGTTTCCTGTGTTTTTCACTATCCAATCAGAGTTTGAGATTTGAATTTAATTTTGCATAAATCATAAGTTTGAAAAAGAAAATGAAAAATCCAATAATGAATTGAATAATGAAATCTTCGGGGATACACTACATGTCTTTTGACTGTAAGCATTGTAGGATATGCTGGATAAAAATGAAATTTGTCTTATAGTGCAATTTAATTTGGAGCCAGTAGAATTTGTTTTTGACTGGTTCACTAATGTTTGATCTTAAACAACAAATGCGATATGTTTTCATAAAATTTAAAATGTAAGAAATCAATGCACTTGGTCTATGATAAGGGGTTTTTTTTACCTGTATGACATTGTAGGTATGGAGGTGCTTTATCTCTGCGACCAATATCATCAAGGTTGAGAACACCCAAACTCCCTCCTCCTAAATCAAATAAATATCATTTATGAAATCAGGAGTATCTAGCAGTCACCAAAGTCCTACTGAAAATCACTTTAGCAAAGTAGAATGCCAAGTGGACTGGATAACAATTATCTTCACATGTAATAAAGAAAAATTATTCTAATTCGATCATCCATCTATCATTTTTTTTCATTTCTTTCTTTCTTTCTTTCATTATCATATAAAACAAGTTAATAATGGTGATTAATATTCTTGATTGATGATCTGAAACCCTTGAGTCATGTGTCATAAATTTGTTGAGTACTAAAGCTATCCAACTCAATGTTTATGGTTTCTGTGTTATTACAACATGGTTTCAATGCCATTCTGGTCGTCTTTGTAGTGTTTAAAAAACGGGTGCCGAATACTACTTATAGTACTCCAACATCCAGAAATTGTTATCATTTTAGAAAAAAAGCTAAGAAATGCGAAAACAGTGATTATGCATATTAAACTTCTACGGAGCATGTGCATTTGCACAATTGAAAGAATTTTGATCCCACAAGTAAGAACGGCTAGTCTATGTTATACTATATGTCTCATCATGTGACCCAATAGTTCGATGCTCATTGGACTAATAGCTCATGAATTATCAATGAGTTCTAGAAATCAGGTATATCACACTGTCTTTTCAAAATAAGTGGTTTCCAAAATCCTATATCTGCAAGAATATTGATTCCCTGCACCTGCAATAAATATGAGTACATAGGAGAAACTGGGAGAAAATGGGAAACAAGAAAGAAAGAACATGAAAGCAACATTGAATGGATACTGGAAGACAGTGGACTGGCAAAAACTGACCACATAATATGCTTTCATAAGCTCACAAGAAATGCATAGCAAGAAAAAGGAAATTCGGACTTGAGTCCCTGAAAACTCAGTACAACAATAAACATTCATACTTAATATTCATGTGGATATAGGATTTTAAAAAAACACTTATTTTGAAGAGACAGTGTGATATACGTGATGAAGACAAGCAGAATGATGTTGAAACACACAAACCAAAAACCATTGATTTAGTCGGATAGCTTGAAATGCAACAAACATTCTTCACCATACCTCCAAAATCCACATTAAAAGCCATTTGACTAGTGCTTGCTTTGATGTGATTGCCACATGACAGTTTTAAGTTTCCAATGTGTAGATCAAGGTACCAATTCTAGAAAAAACAATGTAGTATTACTAATTAACGACAAACAACAAAATGTTTGTAAATATTCCCATCAAGTCTATCTGAACAAGGTTATATGATTGTAGTTATAAATAGAGGAATGGAAGTGTTATTGGAAGGTATGTTTGTATGTTTCTCATTTGATTGGAGACATATCATGAAAAGGTCACCAAAACAACACATATATAGCACAGTCTTGTCTAGCGCCTTTGATGACGCGATCACCTGCTGACATAACTAGGTTATTTCATGTGGTTGAAACCCAAGAATACTAATACTTGGCAGTATCAGATATTACAGGGACTGCGGAACAGGAATCTTTCCAGCGTTTTGAGGCGTTTCCCAATACATATTTCTGATCGCTAAAACCACACACACATAATGAAAAGTGAAATTTCACAAGGACACTCTTCACTTCTTTATTGAAGAATATTCAAAATGGCGGAAAAATTATTGGGGGGGCTGTAGCCCGCCAGCCCTCCCCCCCTGCTCCACGATCAATGTATGTTATTTTCATAGATTCACTGCAAAAAAATTTGTAAAAATTTGCCCTCCCTGCTTGATCCAGACTTGCAAATGCAGACATGCAATGAATACATATGTCAGTAAATGTGTCAGTAAATTGTCAGTTGTATTGAGAAACTGGAAGTTGTCAATTTCTGTGTGGTAAGATAATTAAGCTTAATTGTAGCATTTGGCATATTGAGCATTGAGTAACTTATTGAGGAGTTTCAAAAAACTCCGCTTGTTGCAGCATTGCACTTCAATATTGCACTTTTGCATTTTGCTAGATGTCTTCTTTTCAAATACAAGCAAGCCCTCGACTAATCACACCTAAGCTTACCTAGACATTGAGTATGCGATATCACAAAAATCTCAGCCAATAAGGCTTGGCTTAGCAAAACAAAACATTCGAGAACCAGAACAAACTTACCTCTCTTTTCGCTGGCTTAGCTCCAGCATTACGATACTTAGACGTTTTGAAACGGTTCATGTTTGATAACTAAAAATAACACCTTTGAGCACTTCCCTTCGATGTATCATGTGTACGTACACCTTCCTCCCGGAAACGCAACAGTGACACAATGGCTTGTGGGATGCCATATTTGATAGATACACAGGCAGCCCAAAACATTAAAATGTCTTGTTTAAGACTTAATTATTTTTATCTTATATTCATTTATTTTGATTCTTAATGTCTTTGCAAAAATATCCAACATAAAGCTCCAAAAATTGTGTTAATAACAGTTTAATTAGTCGGCTAGAGCCGTACGCAGCCCGACTTTAGTTTTACCTTTTCGTCGATAAARGCATTAGTTGGACAGCAAAAACACACGCAAATCGTAGCTTCGTAACTGTTTACTCTGCAAACTCAAATTCATTTTCATTGTGCTATTCGATATCCGTACGCGTTGTAAACCAATAGATAGATAAAGACAGACACTTCAATGCGCTTTATTAACATACTTGCTAAATACACTTTACAAGTTTTGCAAAAAAAGTTGGAGATATTTGTGATTATTATTAAACCAGCTATTATTTTTGGTATTATTATTTCAGATACTGCAACATTGCTTTGCGCTCTTCTTTCTACTAAATTTCACAAAAGGAACCCTAAAAAGATTTGATAATCTTTCACGATATGGGTTGCCAGTTGATAGTAAAGCGACACTCCAACCTAGAATAAATTCTCCTCGATATTATATCAACATTATATCAAAGCTATGAATTAAAGTGTTTCTTGGTTCGAGCTGCATGTGATTAGGTTTTTCGCTAATAACTGACGACGAAAATGTTACACGCTTCAACTCGCTGAATATTCGTCAGTCGATTTACAAGTTTTTGACGTTGATCAAAAACGCCCACACATGCGTAAACGAACAGAGGATTCCGTGCAGAAAGCCCACAACCTGTAAAATTTGGTAGAGTGATAAGCATTTAATACCTGACATTGAACGAAATCAAAATACCATAAATTTGCACTAAATCTGTAACTAAAGACTTTGAATTACCATTGTTCTTTTTGAACAGCATTAACTAAATTGTAAAAAATAGTAATAAGGGGGCTAGTTAAATTTCACGGATTTTAAAAGTGCGTTCACTCCATCTAAAGATCGTGCTGATGTCTTCGGTAATAGCCTACAACTGCTTTACTGAAAACACCCATGTTGAACGCAAAGATTAAAACAGCAAAAGAAAAGAAAGAAAAATCAAGAACATTAAAAACAACAACAACCAACCAGCAAACAAAAACAAGCAAACGAAAAAATGGGCTTTTGACACTTAAAAATGATATTTGATATAGTAGTTACGTCATTCTAGATCATGACATTTCATGTTTCCATGTAAGAATCATTGTTCAGTGAAGAGAGGTGGCTGAAATCTCGAAAGTCATCTTTGTCTGTTTGCGGTAATGTAGGTGATGGGATCAAAGGAAGGTTAAATGAGACGGGTATTAGACTCTGAGGTGACAAAGGGTTTAAAGTTGGAGACACAGCAATACTGGAACGAGACTCAACACCCGATGGGGTCGGTACACTGGTCTTCTCAAGAGCAGAAGGTTTGGTTTTCTGGGACTTGAGTTGCTTTTGTTTTTTGCCTGTCCACGGTTCTTTCTTGGTCGCACCTCTGTCAGATGTATACTTTTTCATTTCTTGTTCGTACCTTTCTTTGTCTCTTTCATACATCTCATAATAAACCTATGATTACAACAGATACATGATTACTTGTACTCAGTACATAACAGGCAGCTTGAAAAACTTACTGTACAAGGGGAAATGGTCAAAGGTTGGCAGAAGTGTCCTCAAATAACATAATAGAAAGCTGTACTCGGCAAAGTGAGCAATGAATGGCGGGAAGTARTTAATTGGCGAACCAGCAATAACCAGCAAGAATATTGGAGATCAGTTACGTTTGCAGATTAAATACCTTCTTTTCATCTTCAATTAAATTATTCCATTCCTTGGCTAATGTTTTAGTCAATTCATGATGGCCCATAGTAGCATCTCTTTGGTCCTCATGCATAACATTTCTTTGTTGTTGGCAAAACATGAAGAATGCATTGGCAGGTTTCTTTGGGGCGTTGGGATCTCGTTCTTTCTCATGTTTAGCGCTGTTACGACTTTTGTTTTTTTTTTKAGAATACGTTGTGACATTGCTAGTGTGTCCAGGTGATATGGCAACACTTCCACTCAAGGCAAGAAATGCTGGTAAACTTTCAGACACAATCTCTGCCATAAGCTGAGACTAAAAATTGACAAACATCGATAAATGTAAGCCAGTTAGAGACAGTGTATGATCAATGAAGACATCTCACAACAAGCAATGGTTTTTGTCTAGTGGGGCTAATACCTGCATACCTGTAATGGAGGCTGAGCATTCTGATAGTCATCCTTGTACTCATCAAGTTTCTCTCTTATCAATCTAAAATATAAACATGACAAGTTACAAWAGCAGATGTTGTACGGATCAGCGTAGTAGTAGAAAAGGGAGGTTGCAATGTAAAATGTTTCTTTAAAGTGATTGAAAAACTTCTCTGATATCCTTATATTTCAATGATTGCTAAATATCATAATGCATACTATCTGAAAAAGGTTACTCTTTTAGCACAAGCAAATTAGTGGACCTTATTCATAAATGTATGTCATACACAAAGCACCTTTCATACTCTTCAAGGGGCACTAAATTTCCATAGAACCGTGTGAAAAAATAGTAGCCCTCCCTAGGAAAGCATGGCCCTCCCTTGAACCAAATATGAATAAAGACATTGGATACATTGATTGACATTCACCAAAGGCTGTGAAACATTGAGTGATTATACTTTTATCTATCTTTAATCGTTACTATGTTAAAAACTGTTTTGAGGATTAAAAACCGGTTTTCAGAAGTATGGATGAATTCTAGAAAGATTCATTTCCTGCTTATAATTTCAAAGACATGCATGTTTTGTAGGTGATGCACCTACATCGCTTACAACTGGACTCACACCATTCACTCTCACATGCATGCATGTTTAGTCTTTGGAATTTGTTGCACAGCGCTGAAGGCACAAAACATTTTGTTGTGCCCTGACCTTCTGGATTGATTTGATTGTTTAAAATTGTATTAACCGAAGACCAAAATTTTTAGAAAAATAAAATGACAGGAGCCTTCAAACTTAACTTTGCAATTTCAGTTTTGCACAACATTTTTTTCTGAAAGTTTTGGTGCACAAAATATTTTTCTCAAAAAAAAATTAATTCTGGCTGTGCCGTGGTTGTATGTTTTTGTATATGCCCAACTCCTATAGACTTTTGGGAATACTTATTGATTTGCTGCAACTGGTTGATTTTGTATGTCAACCCAATAGATGATCCCACTAGTCAGTAAGTTACATTCATGAATGGCTTAGAATAGTGAAGACAGACATGTGTGACTGTGACAGCTACAAAGGTCAAATAAAAATGATTAGAATGTTACATTTTTGTGACAAAAGGCCTTATGGGGCCTCTCGTCATAATGTCATTGTGTGTGTAAATAAGAGTGTAACCAATCCATTTCTACCAGGCGTTCCTGGCGGTAACTTAAACACGTGGTTGTAGTCAAGGAGATCTTTTACTATCGAAGTCATTTCGGGTTTATCGATTTATACGAGACTATATGAACGAAATTATCTTCGAAATCCCAACAACTGAAATATAYGATCAAGAAACGATTCCTGTGCATTCTCAGTTCTCTTCGATCGTCAATGTGTTTGTGCTTTCGAAGCTGTGAGTTGTTCTTTCTATTACAGTATTTAATGTATTTAAACTCTTTTGTGTCTAGAACTAGGCACAACTTTCTTTTTATTTGCAGTCAAGTGTGTATTTCTAAAGAATATTTTAGATTTGGTTTACGTGGATTCAGAGACGTCCCTGGTGGATAGTTTGACAACAAAAGTCCGATTGCTTCGCTTGGCTTGTTACAGACCAGTCCAGACCACATAATTTCTGTCATTACTAGATTACACATCACTCACGATGTGAATTTRTATGAAAATCAGACTGTTCATAGACAAGAACCTTCATTTAATGACAATGTAAGGGGTAAGGGGGAGGTGGAAAACGGAAGGGGAGGGGGTGGGGAGTCGGAACGGAAATAAGGAGAGCCTGCCAGAACGAGCCGCTAAATCGTGTACCRYCTACTAGAGGTCATTGAACCGGAAATGGTTTGTTACTCGTCAATTTCATGTTATGTGTTTGTCACCTTCTTATTACCAGATTTATTTATAGTTCAAAGCGCYTTTCRAAAAGCAAACATACTACGGTAGACTGTCTTGCAAATTCAACAAAGCAGCACATGAATTTCGTGTATGTACGTTATGACATTTGACCTTCATCTTTCTATAGTATAAAGACTCTTTGAACTTCGGCTGAAAGGTTCGGCTGTATGTAGAATACACATTCACGGATGCTATTTTAAAAACATGTAGATACTTATGCTACTCTTTACAAAATGACAAAAATGAAAATCCGAATCTATATAGCCTATCCAACAGAGATACACACGACTTGTTGGACGATCAAGATCACAGTTTTCCCTCACTGACTTTTCAATCTAGCGATCAATAAATTCGACTTTGTAAACCATCTTTCCGTGTTGTTTTTGATTTTCAGAGTTCTCGAAATAGCCTGGATATTGCTATTTTGACAGCGAATTGAAAACGTCAATCACAGCGCTGATTTAAACCAATCAGGAAGTACACGATTTAGCGGCTCGTTCTGGCAGGCTCTCCYTTTTTCCGCTCCGCCTCCCCACCCCCTCCCCTTCCATTTTCTCCCTCCCCCCTCCCCTAGAGCTGCCACGCAGGCTATGACAATGTTATATAGTTTTGTGCAGTAATTCACTTTTATTGTTCAAATTGCAGTTTATATAAGGTAATTGCACTTAATCCATGCAACTGTACAAACTAAATAGTGATGTTTAGGTGTATTTAGTAGAGCAGTTTTCATAAACCCGTGAAACAAAGTGTAATAATTAGAGTGTAATTGATCGTAATAGTCGCATAAAGACAATAAAAAACAAAAGAGCCAAAGTGTAGAGTACAAACATTAAATGTGTGCAATACTTTCCACTATTTACTACAAAATAGTGTTAATTAAACGATAGAAAATAATAGAATTAGCATAATTTAGCAGTATTTAGTGGTATTTATGTTGCACAGTTTTAGTGTTTGTACTCTAATAGAGATGAATACGCTGTGGAAGTGTGTTTCACGGGTTAATGAAAACCACTCTAAATCGTGCATGCGATACTCAAATTAAATTGAATTGAAACAAATGAAGCATTCAATACCGTTTTGCTTCAGGTCCACTTTTAGTACAAATTAGTACTACTACTAGATTTTGTATAGTTGCACAGATTAAGTGTGATCACTCTATAAACAAGCAATAAACTTTATTTCTTTGTTTAACATGTGTTCCTTTATCTTTTGCATAATTATGTTAGAGTACAAGCAATAAATGTGTACAATACTACAAAATAGTGCTAACTAAACAATAGAAAACAATAGAAATAGCATACTTTAGCAGTATTTAGTGGTATTTTGTACACTTCTGTTTGTACTCTGCTTTTTTGTTTCCAAAAACTCATGAAATTCACTGTAACCGTCGTTTTCTTCCTTGTTTGTAATTTACGTGTACTACGCTTTATTATTACACTTTGTTTCACAGGTTTTTACAATGACTCTAATTGAAAATGGCAACAATTCATTAGAGTGCATTCATTATATCYGTGAAATATTTTGTAAGAAACTGCACAAAATTGCACTAATTCAGGATTTCACACCAAATTGTCGAATTCAGTTTTCAAACAATTCTACTATCCAATTCCACAAATAAAATCTATCATACATAAATAAACAGCTACCTTTCTCATTTTCATTAATTTCCACATGTATTTATTCAGCCTGAGTCACATGAAAAAATAGTGAACAAATATGCAACAAATATGTTTTTATTTATATTCATTTTCCCTTTTTACCAGGTTTCATTTTTTCTATTTTTATTTTATATATTTCACAATTTTACTTCCAAAATTTTACTTCCAAAATAATTCATTATTCTTTTAATGAAAAATGTTTTTCTTATGAAACCATTTTTGCCATTGTATGCATATAATGCTTAATAGTAATATCTATCTAGTAATATGTTACCTTCTCTGGCGACGATATCTTCGTAGGAGCTGATTGACATGATACAAACGGTTCAACACCCTTTCATTTTCCTATGAGAAATTTCAGTGTGATGTCAATAAGCAGTAATTCTATTAGCATCCTACAAATCACACTGAACCAACAATTAATGATTAGCTGTTAAAATCATAAATTTACCGKCATGTTTTATCACAAATTGTTCATTTTCTATCATGTAGATTGAATGAATAATAGATCTTACTAATGAGAAATCTATTGTTAAATTTCAACCAAGATAGCTGCTGTGACGTATATTGAAATCAAGGAATAATGTATCACATGTAATATACTACCCCCTCCCTACCTCTAACTACCTAGATCAGTCTGAGCAGATTCAAGGGAGATGCTTTGGATTCGAATGCAMCCCCCTTTTTGGACAACATAATTTTTTATATATATCAGTATAAACATTTCTTTCTTCTGTTTATACTCCTGTTTTACTTAATTTTCTTGAGAAAACGAGTAGCATACACAACATGTGCCTGCCACTATGCTGCTTTACAATCTACAGTTAACTCTCTTTGAACRACCACWCTCGTAAGCGACCATCTTCCGTAAGCGACCACTTTTTAAATTTCCTGTTTTGTTTACAATATAAACTCTGTAAAAAACTCCTTGTAGGCGCAACCACCTTTGGGATTGAAATTGAAGAATTTTTCATTGCTTTTCCTCTCCCGTAAGCGACCACCCTCGATCGACTAACGCAACTAAAGGCGTTTGTTTATAAAGCTTACACAAATTACATTTCCGTTTTTTTTAATAGAGTACAAACCTTAAAAGCGTACTATTAACTATCAAATRCACTTTAGTTAGTAGTACGCTTTGAAAACAATAGAATTAGGACATTACAATCAACTTCAAGAATTTGAGGAATGGCATGGAAGCAGTATCATTGTTCAAGATTTTATACAATTAAATACGAACATGTTTTGAACTATTTGGGCCTCCTGTGTTGTGATTATAACTGTTTGGGTTCCCTGTGCTAACGYTCTCGCAAACAACCATCTCTCGTAAGCAACCACTTTTTCCTGATCCCGAGGTGGTCGCTTACTGTACRAGAGAGTTGACTGTATTTGAGTAAGTGTAGTCAAATCGTGCATAATTTTCTTGCTCTAGATAATACGCAGCTAACAAATATGATCAGTTCCATCTTCTATACTTAGTTTTTAGCTATATATTTCTGAAAAAAGCACCCCCCTAATAAAATGCTGGATCCCCCCATGCTGTATATCTCCTCCCCCCTCTCATAACAATATTGCAAACACTGGTTAATAACAAGAAATAAAAAGAAACCTACACCATGTCTTTATGTACAAGCGTAAGAATTGGCAACATTTATGTCCAAAATTGCAGTAATTGTGAAAATACACTGTAGCCAGATTTCAGATCAGATTTCAGAGTAATGCGATAATTTTTCACAAAAATGATTGACATCAACATAAATGCATCAATCCCATGGTTCTACACACCGTAGAATTGCAAGTTTAATGCTTAAGTTAAGCTGAGATATCATTAAGCTTAAGTTTAGCTTATAAGACTTAGTCTTCGACGCCATATGACTAAAATTTGCCCATACCTTTAACATTTATTTTTCATGAGAAACACATTCATTGACAAAAAATAATTATAAATATAGCTAAAACATACCTGTTCTATTTGTTCGCATCGTCTCTGAAGCGTCAAAAACTTCCTTTTCCAAACAGTGTTAACACTTTGATGTGAGCCCAAAGAATGATTATCCGCCATTTTGAATGTCATTCGGAAAAGACTGGGGGCGAATTCTCTTACCCAGACTCCCTCCTCCTAGCCACCCAGCGGACATGCTGAATTTTCATAAGCAGTCCCTTTAGTTTTTACAAAGGGATTTCATCAGGAGCCCATTTAGGAGCCTTCCTAAAACAGCCAATCAGAGAGCGTCTTGAACAATGGGTTTCTGACCGTTTCTGAATGACCGACCGCCGACAGCAGTTCCAAGAAAGATCTTAGTATTGAAAGTTCATTTTCAGTGTTTTGAAGTTTACTATTAGCAGCCATATGTCCCAAAAACGTAAAGCAGCCCGGGGGGGCTGTTCCAGAGTGAAATCGCTGAAAACTATACCCTGTTTCAGAGTAAAATCGCTGAAAACTATACCCTGTTTCAGAGTAAAATCGCTGAAAACTATACCCTGTTTCAGAGTGAAATCGCTGAAAACTATACCCTGTTTCAGAGTGAAATCGCTGAAAACTATACCCTGTTTCAGAGTAAAATCGCTGAAAACTATACCCTGTTCCAGAGTAAAATCGCTGAAAACTATACCCTGTTCCAGAGTAAAATCGCTGAAAACTATACCCTGTTCCAGAGTGAAATCCAGCACTATCCTGCGTGTAGACCGAATTTTTACCCCATGAATTTTTAGCCAGCATCAATAATTCTGGAATTAAACCCTGACCCTGTTCCAGAGAAAATTCGTTGAAATCGATACCCTGTTCCAGAGTAAAATCGCTAAAAACGAYACCCTGGTTGGCGGCACGTCCCCGTATAGCGAATATAGGGGAGTACCACCCCCCCGGGGAAAGCAGAATCACCTTTCGCTTCATATTTAGGAAGCCAATTATAGAAAACACATGAAAACAAGTGTAGTCTTTTGGATACATGGGAAAATCTGGAGAAACAACACAGCCGAAGACTGAAGAACATAACTATAATGGTTATACACTTCTGCCGAAGCCAACAACATTCATAAGCAAAAGCTAAAAAAATCGACTCAAAATCACAGTCTGGATCAATACCCCATACCACCCTTATTACTATAGTACCGCCTTTTTTTAAACCAAATGAAATATTGAACTCTTTCATCCCCTTCTTCGTAGCAGGAGGTGGAAAAAGAAATATTCATGAATATCTAAATTCCACATAAACATGATGCTCTCTATGCCCCTCAAAATGCTTATCCAACTTTCCATTTTTTTTTGTCGGGGGGGGGGATTTAACCCACCCCTACAAATGGTCCGTCCGCAGTATAAAGCGTATACGTATAAAAGACGAATTGTACTGTAAAAAAAAATATCGTGCAAGAGCTTGGTACAACAAAAAATATCCTGGAGTGCGAAAAAAAATTTCGAGCATGATTAAAATCTACACCCCCCTTCCCCCCTACAGAAATCAAATGGTCCGTCCCTAAATAGAGCTTAGATCATTGTTGTTTTTTGGACTGTAGCATTTTGACGACTTTCAAATAGTAGAGAATTTTAACATTCATGTCCCCTATCGCATGGATCGTGATCTCCTTGGTATTAATCGAGGGTCTCAATGGGGTGGTACGCATCACGACTCACGGCTAAAACTTTGTCGATTTCACGACTCACGACTAATTTTCTCGAATCACGGTCAACTAGATTACTTTCAGAAATTTTTGAATTACGTTTTTCATTACTTTTTCTTTTTTTCGTATGAATAGACTGTTGACTTATTCGTGCGGACATGGATTTTATCTTTCAAATAAGCCGAAATGCGACTATTTCCACGAAAAAATGATTAATCATAAATCCATAATACACAAAAAAATCCAAAAAGTGTTAAACATAGCAGGTATTGAGAACATAGTAGTGGCATTGCTGCATTCCGTGTCTGACATCGGAGTTTATGAAATTTCATAAGTGTCGCTTTTCGCGATGATGTATTCTATGCCGGGCTAAATGTGCATGGTAAAATCAGGAAGTTTGCAGCGTATTCATATTATTATTTGACTCTAAACAAAATTATAGTATTTTAAAATCGAGCAGATTTAGTTTCTTGTCACACTTAGCGTGACGCAGGCACTAAATRAGTGGGAGTTTTAAAATGTACAAAACAAATCACAAAAATACTATCTAAGAAAGAAAAAACCTTTTATAACTAATTATAGTATTTTAAAATCGATATCTTATCTAATTACAGAAAATTTCAGAATATRTACAATGTCCGTACGCTATAGAAAACATAACTCGGCCACTGTTTAAAATTTGATTCTCGGTTGCGCAATCGCCGCGCTGTGAAAAGCCAATGAAATCGCGCTTTAAAATCACATTATAGAAATATATAGAAATAATTGCTAAACGATTCTGCAGATATTGAAAACAAACATTAATGTAGGAAGCTAATCAAAGACAACAACAAAAAGAAAAAAAAAGAAATATGAAAAAAGAAAAAAATTGAGTCGTTGGATTCGAACACATGACCATAAAATCGAAAAAAAGTTGGGACGATTCCCCCGAGACATTCTGTGAAGCTGAGGCGGCGAATCGATTTACATTCCGGTTAGAGGTTTCGGCTCTTCCATGCTATCCCGATAATTGGTCCTAACTTCGCGCTAACTAAAAAGCCAGTGAGGGAGAAGCTATCCGGCCCCTAGACACTGATGGATAACCCCTTGCACTAACTAGGCAACTATCGAAAGAATAATGTCAAATTGGGGTAGTCTATTCGGTGAAAGTGCCAAGTGGTCTATTATTATGTAAATGAGCGTGGTCCAGTGGCGCACCGCGTTAAGGCGCTGCTTGCAAATCCAATGTAGGTTTGACGGTWGYGGGATCGATTCCCWGGRCGAGACGTTTAATGATTGTGTATTTTCATTTCTATTTTATTTATTGTTTATCTTCTTTTTTTTAATTTATATTTTTACATTTGTTTATTTATTTATTTATTTATTTATTTATTTTTTTTTTTTGCAGAATTATTGTCATCTCTTGTGTTTGGCACTTTCCCGAGAACCGACTTTTTTTTACGAAGTGGATATATGATCGGCTCCCACTCGAAGTCTTCTATGTACTAACATACTAAATGAGTACTCTTTTGTTTTGGAGATTTTGTCTGTACATTTGTACCGCTCATTTATGAGGGTCTCAACGGGGTGGTACGCATCACTACTAAACATTTGGCGATTTCACGACTCACGCCTCGAATCACGGTTAACTAGATAACTTTCAGAAATGYTTGAAATACGTTTTTCATTACTTTTTCATAATTTGTTTTGTGCTAGAGATAGTGAGTGTGGGAGCACAGTGTCCCCGGGCTTGTACGTTATAGACACTTAGTTATTATGTACTTTTTATCATCACTCTCACATGTCAAATTTTGTCCGTGCCCTGACTTGTCTGCAGRAYCTTGCAATTACTACCTTGTTGGTAGGTGCGATCCATTAGAATTTTGAGGGGGTGGGGGTTGAAGAGTGAAAGATTTAGGGAAAACAATTCCTGAACGGAATTTTAAATTTACAAAAAAAAAATACAAGCGCGCGCCTGTATCGGAGTTGACTGTCCTTCTGAGGGACAAAACTGCTATAAAAAAATAATCACGCCTCACGGCTAATTTTTTCACATTTTCACGAATCACGGCTAATTTTTCAGCCGTTTCACGGCTCACGGTTAACCCCATTGAGACCCTCTTTAATAATCTAGTGTACTCGTGATTCCAGTGGTTTTCTCTTTTTTTCTAGATGTATTTTTTTTAAAGTCAGTTTATCGTATTTTTATATTTGCTTTTGCAAAGACAAAAATACGATAAATGCTTTTAAGCAAAAAAATACCAGGAAAAAAATACCAGGAGCCCATCCACTCATTAGTAATAGGCTCCTGAATATACAAATAGAAAGAAGAGGGAACCTCTGGAACCAGCTTTCCTTAGTAGTCCGGAGTAGCTTCTCGGAAARACACTGTAATTTTCGGGAATTTTAGTCAGATGATAAATTTAATCAGGGGTTCAGGTTCGAGGATTCATGGTGGATGTCAATTGCAGCGCTTACGGTACTGATATGGAGAATTAGCTTGGTGACTCATTCCTTGTACGTGCATTTTGACAAATCGATTCAACCTGGTTTAACTTCATAATTCCACAAAATAATGTGCGATCCATTAGGCTTTTGAGGGAGGGATGGAAGATCTAGTTGGTGCAGGAAATGTTTTTTCGACTTCAGGCGCGCGCTTGCAATATTTTTTGTAAATTTACAAAAGCTTTAGTTTAGCTTTTCAAAATTTTGCCTTGCAGGATTTTTATCTCAAAATCTTCCATTCCTCCTCCCCCCCTCCCCCCAAGAAAAAAAGTCCAATGGATCGCCCCTAAGATATAGCGAAAGAATTCATACTATTTTGGTTATATATATAGCTGTTGACTATTCTAAGCCTTAACAGTGTTTTCATTACTCGAACCCACTCATTTTCTATGAACTACTTTTACCCTGATTCGATTGTATTCTTGCATATTGTTGTGTTTGGAATAAAAAAACGGAAACGTCTCTTTGCACAAAAACAAGCAAATACAAGCCAAGCCTGTAATAGGAGCCAGGACGAGTCCTGTTTTTAACTTTTGTAGTAATAAATATATATATTTGTATCCTTTTCTTATGTCAGAAATAACTTCGTGTTTTATTACGAGAAATTACCCCTGCGGTGAAACTGTTCGCAGAGTACTACGAGAAATTTGACGATGTCCGAGCGCTTTCCCTTTCAAAAAACCCAACAATCTACAGTTTTTGAACATTTTTGCGATAAATCGAGGATTTTTTTCCGATAGAAATTGAATTTCACAGAAGAGCGTACAGTAGTGTACCAAAGAATCAACAGTCCGGTTATCCCGGGCCAGCCAGGCTCATGCAATTAGGTCCGCAGACAGTTAATAAAAGATGCGAAAATTGAAAACAATGAAACAGAACTTAGAATTGCGAATATGTTTCTCTTAGCAACAGTGTCAGCCAAATACCATCAGCCCATATTTGTAATGTCACTGCTGACCAACGTGACAAATAATACCGAAATTAAACTATGACCTGACGAGCACGGATCGTACGCTAGGAACAAACTACACTGGGTCAACATTCCTGAAGAAGCCAACCATTTTACTTTCGACCGATATTTGAATAAGGTAGTTGGATTGGGTTTTTAGTTCTCAGCGACATTTTTCAATTAGTTTGAGCTGTATTTTATGTGGTTTTAGAGGCGTGTTATGATATTTGAGTTTGGAAATGATTTCACACCACTACTTGCATACATTTTGTATTATCATAGGTAAGTATTTTAATGATACATTGCCATTAACGTGTTAAATATAAAGAAAGACAGAGATACTAGATCATCTTTTAAACTGTTTATCGTGTTTTTGTTGCTGATAGTCTCATGGCGAATTTGGATAGCTTCGTTGTCAACGTTGTTATTCATATTACATAGTTATAAGTTATATTCATAACTAAACGTACTGTGTTGGGAAGTCACTTTTCTTTGAAATAGATGTTATGGTAATGCCAAACCAACTCTAGAATCACTTTGATTGCTCTGCCTGGCCGCGATATTTTAGTTCTGTGTACTTGTCTTGCAGTATTATCGACTATTTCTGCAGCTTCACAAGGGAAAGTGGCTGTATTCTTAGATATCTCGAATAACACAGACATAAAACTAGTCAGAGAGGTATTTCCACTATTGACTGAAAGAGGGGAGACTTATGAAGTATTGGTAATCGTCTCCCCCAAGAATGCAACTACTGCAAGAAATGACCTTTTGCGACATCTGAACACTCCGAAGTTCTCGTAAGTACTAATCAAATGCAATTGTAAGTTCATTTATTAAAATATTACAGTATGTATTTTTATTCATTTCTGGAAACCAATTGCTTAGAATTAATAAATCGTAATAATGAGAATAATTAAATTTGCGCCTATATTCTTTGTTATTTTTAAAAGCGATAGCTTTGCGTGGTTTTCTGAGTGGTTTTCCACGCGCGTCGCGGGATGCATGGCTGCATGAATACGAGAAAACATCACTAAATCACGTGCCAATGAGCGAGTGATTTTTAGTCTTTTTATTAAAATCTGATTCGGTTCAAAATTGTATGAACAGTGTCATACAAGGATTTGCATGTGGTCATCCAACCAAAGAGACGCTTAGGGACTGTGCAATAAGTACCAGGAGAGCTTACGTTTTATTCAAAATTTTCATTATTTTCTTTATCTTAAATTCAACGTAAATAACACCATAATTGTGGAAAATGACAAAAACAACTTTATATTGATATTACTTTTTCAGTTTTAAGAAGCTTTATACAACACTGATCATTTTTAATCTTCTAGCTAAAGCTTGTTAGGTTATCGTTTTTATGAAAAATCCATTATGAAACGAAACGTACTAATGGAAATCTAAATTCAAAGACTCGCTGATGTGGGATTGAAATTGACCAAGATAGGAATTTTTTTCAATCTTGATTTTTTCAATTTTATCACATAAATTGAAGATGTAGAACCTGAAAAACATATTGATGATTTATTAGACATAACAAGCACGAGTAACGTCAAAGTCGTTTTTGACCATAAAAACGTTACATAAGCCTTTTTTGGACCTTGAAAACCTTTCCCAGGAACAAATTCATCCAAGAACAGTAATTTAGCAGAACGGACCCCGTCAGCTACTCCTGAAAGTTTTTGTCTTTACACTTAGGTCCAGAGTAAGCCACCTCTTGCATCTGGATTCGTCTTTAGTGATATATAACCTTATAACTAAGGTTAATAGTTGGGGGGAGGGGGTTCGACGTTATTTCTAGTATAGCAGKGGGGTAAGAGCTATTTTCTTATGCTTCGGATCGGGGGGAGGAGGGGTTCTGGCTAATTTTCTGCTTGAGAAGTCTGGTTTTACGTCAMCCTCTCCTGGTAATTATTGCACAGTCCCTTGTGTCTCTACATACTTAATGATTATAAAATAACTATTATATAACGTGTGCATTGACTGTTTGAAATGTGCAAAAAACTGTTTCGAGGCAGGCGCGTGGCGTCCTTTACGCATATACGCACGTGCGTACTAGTTGCAAGGAAAAATTGAAATGTTTGGGATTTTGTTTATATGTATAATTGTCTCGATGCCCCTCAAAACGCTGGAAATCGCATTTCAAATAATAATTATTTCAAAATCTCCTGGGAGAGGACCCCAGACTTCCATTAACACTCCGGCCTTCGGCGGTCGTTAGCTACCCCAATCCAAAATATGTGTCGCGGTCCCTGACATGTGCGTACTAGCCAAAACGTCCAAGCTACGCGCCTGCTAGAGCATACCAGGGCATTATGCTGTGTTATTTATTGCCCGCGGAAAAACAAATAGTCCGGCACAAGAACGCAGCCCAAGAACATCCAGGGCAACTCGCATACCAGAGTTTTAAAATGCTTTATTGTTTTTGTTTATGATTCAACAGCAAAATTTTCTGAAGCGACGGGAGGTATGCACTATTGCGTCACGTGCTCGACTCTCGAGTAATAAGAGCGGCGAAACATTTGTTGTTGAATTATAGCAGTGAATAGAAACACGGAAAATATCTTCTATGGCGCTGAGATTAGGTTTTCTTTAATGAATATTCTCAAATTTCATAATTTGGAGAAAAAAATGTTTTTATGACGTCGATCGCATTTAGCCACTCCAGTGACTCGTAATTAAGACGTTTTTGAAAGAGGTTTATCTTGTCACGATCGGTCGCCATGGTTATCCAAAGGTCACACCACAGAGTCGAGCCCTCGTTGTTTTTCGCTGACCAGAACTACAAAATGTGTGTTCCGGTTTTGGATTATGCCAGAGCCCTACTTCTCGTCGCTGACCGAAAGAGAACGCAGGCTTTGGGTAATAGGTTGTTAGTTCACGATCCAGCGATTATATAGAAACAAGAGTTTATGCATAAAATGAATGATACAAAGACTGCAAAAATCGCACGCATGTGGTAGTATAAAGTTTTAAAGCGGTGTGGTATATTTGTAGAATTACTCGAGCAAGGCGTCGTCGGACGAATGCCAGTCTTTGAGATGTCGGGGTCGTTGTCATGTTTCGTCTCTAGTGCCCCGATCGACGATGGGTCATGTATTTCCTTGTGTTTTTCTTATCACAAATTGGTTCACTTCTGTACTTGACGTATTAATCTTTTTCTTTTCCTCTCCTTAAATTTTGTTTTTGTTTTCTTTGCCTTCTTTCTTGATCTATTCATCATTTTATCTACCTTGGAATAATAAGGCTATCAATGTTAAATACATTTTTTTTTCTTAGTTCATTTTTTCCCAATCAAAAATTTGAATGGCTTGTAAATCAACAAGAAGTCCTCGAATGGCTGTCCATGAATGCACCAGAGACTGTTCTTTGCTTCTCCCAAGATATTTGGTTACCATTTGCTGTGGTTGACGCAAGGAGGAAAGGCAAGTAAATTTAAAGCTAAACAAACGCGATTAGAATGCATTCGTTTTGTAAGGCAGCTTGAATCATGATCATAGACGATTAGTTGCCGACAACTATATGTTATTGACAGCTATAATTTGTAAATGTTACGTTGTCGACGACTAGCAATTGTGATAAAGGAAGTTTTCGTAGTTACCTGTATGAATCACTGAGAAAGAAAGACGGTACGGAGCATGAGCCATCGATGATTTACGATGATTTATTTCAAGCATTGAACATTAACGTTTCAGAGGAACCATGACTAAGATCTAAAAGCGAAAGGATTTGGTAATAGTCTAATATGCGACATCTGTAACACTCGGATTTGCAATAAACATCATGATAAGACACAGGGTTCGTAAGAAAACAGGATTTCTAATTACGTAGCTAACTGGATTTTTAATAACAAACCTATATACAGGATTTGTTCATGTTATAATATTGCTTCAGCGAGGGTTCTGGGCTGAGAAGTCCATCATGTGTACCCGAAGACGTAACTTCTCTTCCCCCCCCCCCCACTTTTGGACGACGTAATTATGAATAAACGTTTTTTTTTCTGCTGTTTAATCTCCTCTTGTACATTTATCGAGAAAACGAGTAGCATACACAACACTATGCTGCTTAACAATCTATCTGAGGTAGTGTAGCCAAAGATGGTCAAAGATACGCTCCAATAAATTGACAATAAAAGTCAATTTGCTTCCGGTAAAATTGTGCATAATTTTCTTGCTCTAGACAATACACAGCTAACAAAAATGATCAGTTACATCTGCTATACCTAGTTTTTAGCTATATATTACTGACAAAATCACCCCCCACCCCTTATAAAATGCTGGACCCGCCCCTGTATGCGTTGGCCTGGCGCGAGTTTACTGTACCCACAGTAAGCTCGCTTGTTAGAGTTCAAACGTAAACAGCCAATGAGAGCATAGGTCAGCATATATCCCGGTACACCAACACAATCTTTGTCGCTTTTTCGCAGAAGAACATAACAACAGTTTTGCAGGCTAAAAGTACTGCGAATTTCAACCTTTCTGTCCAACATGAATAGCGTAATTGTAAAAGTACGGTAAATTATTAATTAAGACTCCTTTGTCCAGGGTAACTCGTTCATGGTCCTCGAGTCATAGTCTCTGAGTCCTTTTATGAAGACAACATTCATGAATATCCTAATGTGCTATGATTTCTTCAGAATTGTTAAGAACGTTATATTCAGGGCATTTAGTAGACGACTGCGCACAAAATGGCCGCAGTGAAAGACTGAAAGGCGCGCTTCACTCCCAGTGCTCCAAATAGCTGCACGCACAGTCACATATAACACATTACAGTTGTGTCAATAAAAAATATTTACTATATTAATTGTTTCTTTCCCTCAATCCATCGAATTTCATTCATCGTTCATTAATCAGCCATTGATCATGTATTTCTTAGGTATAATACCGATCAATTCAAGCATTATATCAATAATGGAAGATCGTAGAGATTCAACTCATATTGATACATTAGATGAAGTGCTCCATGAAAAAATGGCATCAACAGTAGAGTATTCCGTAAGTAAAAGGATATTTATCACTTTGACATTATAACCATAACAGACACTGATACTTTCTTTTCTTTTAGGATCATGTGCTTTTTGCAAATGTTAGAGCCAAAAATTTTCTAAGAAAMATATTTCTTGGAAGCAAACATGGTACTGCAAATAAACATCTGCTTGAGAAAGTTAATTCGGCATTAATTCTGGGCACCTCTTCTTGGAGCAAACARATACTTTTGTTAATACCAAGTAAACATATATCAGGCGTAAAAAGGGAAAGCCGCCGCTACAAAAGAAATGTCGCTCCACTTAATGTTGCATCATCTTCATTAATAACCTCTTCCTCCTCTTCCGTCGCTGTTATGTCAATGTCCTCTTCGCAATACAATGAAGATTTATCTTCAACTACTTATAGCTTAATGTCATCATCGCCACAGCCCTCAGCTTCGCCTTCAGTTGGTGTAAGTCCGTCAGTGTCCTCTTCGCCACGACCTTCTTCATCGCCCTCAGTTGCTGTAAGTCCGTCAATGTCCTCTTCGCCACGACCTTCATCGCCTTCAGTTGGTGTAAGTCCGTCAATGTCCTCTTCGCCACGACCTTC